GGCCCTGAGTCTACCTTTCTAGACTTTCTCACCAGCTACAGCTGGATGCAGGAGTCTTCACTGCCCTTTGAAACTGTTTATTGCTACTGTGAGCTGGTAAATAGCTGTTGCCTTTCACCTCTAGAGGTAGGCGACTTGAATCTCTATTAGCTTAATCTGTCATATGCTCTGGAGTCCTTCAGGATGAAAGGTGCTCTACAATGCTAGAGAATTCTCCTCCGTGAATTGGTGTTTAAACAGTTGATTTCTGAACCAATTCTAAATAACCCTCTTTTCCCTCCTCTCCCCCCATGTTCTACAGTGGCTAGATCTACATCTAAAGGAGAATGTTCCTCCTTCTCTGCTTCTGCTTTCTCGCGCCTTGTACTTGATAGACATGAAGCCGAAACCTATTCAGTTGTTGCAGAATGAGGTGAGTGGGCTGAGTAGCAGTTAGCCTGCGGACATGGTCCCATTTAACAAAACAAGATCTTTCATAAGGATCCCAAATGAAGGATTCAGTTATTCACCAAGCCTCAGTCACACACAGCGCATGTCTTGCCATACAGTCTACTAGACACCCATCTAAAACAGCGGGCTCACCATGATGACTAGTTGGTGCCAGCTTGGTGTCCTCAAGCCAAATGGGATGTTTCCCAGCTGCCTTTTGTAGAGACAATGTATCTGAATTTTTATGGCTGTCTTAGCTTCCAGCATGCTGACTAGTTTACTAACAGATGAACAAACTCTGATTGTGGTAAAACATCTAATGTTTTTAGGGCTCCCATCCCAAATGAAAGACTTGGGGGAGCAGCTTAGATACTAGAAACAATAGTAATTGCACCGTCACTTTAGAAAATGCACGTATGAATAGCACTTACAAGCCCCAGTCATGGACCCAGACCCCATTCTGCTAGGTGCTCTATAAACCCAGAACAAAAATAAGAGTCCTGCCGCAAAGAGATGACAAGGTAAGTTTAAGAGGAGACAACAGATGAATGCAGACAGGCTGATGGGCGGGGCATAGGGAAACAATGAGACAATATTGGTCAGCGTGATAGGCAGTGGTCTCAGCACAGCAGCAGTCTAGCTGTTTTTAGTAGTCCAGTACTTCCTCCAATGGCATGTTACATTCATAGACTTGATTTGGGGTTTAATATAACTTGCAAGCTGCCAAACATGAGTTTTGATCTTTGAGGTGAAAATACCTGCATGGTGTATTTGAAGTGTCTAAATAACTGACTAGGGGCCTGATTTGCAAAGGTGCTGAGCACTCACTGCTTCAGTTGACTTCAGGTGGAGTTGAGGAGTACTTAGCATCACTGAAAATCTATCCAGGGACTTAGTCTTCCTATATCTGTACAGTACCTGGGATGCTTTAGGTGCTCCTGCAGTATAAATAATTGTGTGAAGCATATATCCATTATGCAAATTGGACAGATTTCTACCCAGACAGATGTGTCAAATGCGTAGGTGAGTTCTTTTTTTCGCTTGCATTTTTCTTATTAATGTTCTAATTGTTCTTGAAAAGCAGACTTGGATTGAGATTGAACCTGAACAATGGAAGACACATGATGCTAAATAACTAAATTTTTGCCCAGGTACTTACTTGCCTGGAGTCGCCTCATAGTCTGCATAAAATATGAACAGCAATTTTGAGCTGTTTATTTTTTTTCCTTAGGTTCGGGTTAGTGACGCTGCAGAAACACCAGTTCTTGAACCTAAAGAAACCTTAGTGGATTCTGCACCCATTGTGCAAGGAAGAAAGGTTAGAAAATACTCATTTGTAAAGAGTCATCAGATTTATATGAAATGCTGCAGGTTTGGAAAGTATGAGTGTGAACATACCTTAGCAAAGTATGGAAGCAGGTGGCCTTTTAGTCTGGCATCCTTAGCTAGTATCTCTGAATAGTGCACTGGAATAGAAACTCTTGGGATAGGCAAGTTTTTCTGTCTGTCACACTGTTGCAACAGCAGTGCTTCTTTTGCCACGGAAGGAGAGGATGTTGAAAAGGCAGAGGAAGCTGCAGTGGCATCACTTCTTGCACAAGTGCTGGAAACACTGACTGTTCAAAACAAAATCATCACCAACTTCCGGCAGGAGAGCACTTGTGAGATCCTTAATTATTCAAACTTTCTGTAAACTAGACAGTCACGTGCTGCTATTTCTGCTCGCATTTCACCTGTGAGAGGATGGTTAAATTCTGAATCACATTATAAGCTCCTCCCCAGGAGACGTTTCCTGAGGGTGTTAGCCATAAGAATTGGAGGAGTTGGGGGCAGATTAGCATGTGAAACTCTGCATGCAGCCAGGCAAGCCAGTTCAGGAAGGTCTGATCACCAAAGTTGCGATGAGTGGCTTAGTGTGATAAAGGCTCAAATAGCAGTAATAACAGAAGTTCAGAAAGGGAAAGCTTAAGTTTAAAAACTAGAAAGATTTCCTAATAGATATTGGCTGTGGAATAGTCTCCCAAGTGAAGAAATGGAATCCCCAGCATCTAACATTAAGAAGTGCATCGCAGGGAAGTGGCCTGTCTGGGGCCCAAGTAGACCTCTTCCATGCTCTGACACGATTCTGTGATTGTTAAAACATCTTTTATATTTTTCTCTTGAAGGGAGAAGAATTTATATCACAGCCATCGGAGAAGTTACCAGTCGCTGGAGTATCTGTCAAGCCTCCTCCAGGAGAGGTGAGCTCTGAGGCAGACCTAGGCCAGGTTTTGTGGGTTTGTTTAACTAAGGAAGTTCTAGACTGAGCTTGCCCTCTTCCTTGCCCATTCTTTCTACAATGGGCAATCCATGCACCCTTGACTTCTATCTAGCTGTCTGAATATGGGATTAGGAACCTAACTTTAGGCACCCAAGTTTGTTAATTTTGGTCTGAGTTTTTTCATTAAAGGAAAAATAATGTTCTTTAGCCTAACTGGAGAAATCTGCTGGTCTTGTTTCAAACACATGGTATTTTAATAGGTAAATGCAAGCTGTTTGCCAAAACCACTCTTTTCCCACATCAATAATTATTAATGGATGTGGGTTCATTTAATGGAAGATGTATCTCAACACCCTAAACTGCTTTGAAAATCTTAGTCTTTATTGAATGTTAATGAACACATTTGGACTGCTATTTATTTTTTTATTATTTTTCTTAAGCCTATAATTTTCTCTTACCCCAGACCAAAATGCAGGCATCTCAGAGCAGCAAGGCCAGTGCCAATGGAGTCTAGCCCTGCGCCAGCAAGGACCATGGATCAAGGGCACCGACAGAGGAAGACTCCATTCCTCTGTACCTCGTCTCACCCAACGACTGGGTGAGCAGTCTGTTGGCAGGCTCCCTCCCACACCAAGGCTTTCAGCTGTCCCCAGGGGGCCTCATCAATCAATTCCAGATTGTTTTATTAGCAGCGAGGCCATATAAAGGACACATCCCATTTAAAATACCCTCTATAAATTAAGTTATATTGTAAATATGTAAATACGTCTATTAAAATGCTCTAAGCTGTAACTTATCCCATGGCTATGTGTCCTACAGTTAGGATTTGTGCTCTTTAGTAAGGCAGCATTTTATTTTTATGGCGGGCTGGAGAGCAGACATGGGGTGGGTTTGGTTCTTCAGTAAAAATATCCCTCATCCACACTGTGGAACCCTGTGCAGGAGCTTTGCCATGCAGGCAGGGCTTGGCTTGACTGCTGAAGCAATTTGTATAGACCACAAGCCCTTGATTATCATGGTAATCTCCATTTGTTAGCTAATCTCTTGTGATCAGAATGACTCATCTTGCAGTTACAATTAAACTAATATCAGTTGCTGTTAGGTTTTCACTGAGGAGAATAAACAGTGTGCTGGAAGAGACAAGAGGAAAGGCCTGCAGTATCTTCAGTGCGGAGATTGAAAGAATAACAGTTGAGAGAGGTTTTGCTGCTCTGTTTTCCTTGTTTAAAGAGGGCATCCTCCATTGCATGCTGTACCTACTTTCTGCCCACAGTTGGCAGCAGCATGGAGTCTGCCAGGGTCCCAAACACCATTCTCGCACCAATTTGCAAACATGCCTTTTACATGGCAACATCTTGCTAGGGAATGTGCAGAATGGCAATGACCTGAGCTTTCAAATTAAACTGTTTAGTTGTTTTAAAATTAAGTCTGAGATCAGACTTGTCTTTTAAAATCTAATCATCTGATTCTTAAAACTACCCAATAACGAGTACTGGTGGAATACTTTTTTAAAACAATTCTTTGTATATTTCAGTGTTAACTATCTTCCTGGTAGATTATATAGGAAGAGATCGAAAAGTGTGGGGTTTTTTAATGATTTAACTTTGGCCTCCTGTACCTGTAAATGTTTGAAATTTGCTTATTTTATGGGTATATTGAACCTGGATATTTCTGATTACTGTAAAATTAAAAGGACGTGGATGCTGAGTGGAATGTGACTCCTTGTGTGAGTCAGCCTGAGTCATTAGAACCATCACCTGGCTAAAGCAACAATCAGCTCAGTTAGGCATTATCAGCATGTTACAGTTCATTACGCCAGGGTCTTTTTTGTAAAGCAGAACCAACTCGGGGGGGCATATTACAATTTTACTGTATTCTTGGTTAGTAAACCCCATGTACCTGGGTGATACAAATCTCTGCTTTGCTAATGCAAGTGTTGTATGAAGATGAACAGCTGTGGTGTCTTGCTAGTGGTAACAGAAGACCAGTGTAATTCCAATAAATGCCCTGCTGCTCCAGCATCAACCTCCCCTTTGGTTATTTTAGTAAGGATATCTGGCTGATGGTGGTCATTGCACTTTGTTAAACAAGGGCAGAGGAACCTTTAGCTGCTTGCTTGTTCACCTTGCAGATTGCTTGTGTCTTTGATAATGAGAATTGGCAACGATCATTTGAACTGGAGACACCCCACACTACATCTGCAAAAAAATTCCCTCCACAAAAATTAAACCATTGGCTGTTTCTCCTTTCTTCCCCTCCTCACTCCCAAGGCATAGGTGGGCTCAAGTCACTAAAATAGTTGTGGTGTTGGTCATCCTGAAGTCAGTGTACATAGCAGTGAAAGAGGGCAGGTGATTTCTGTAGTGGGGGCAGAATGTGATAATTGGATCTAATGTTCTCTTTCCAACTTTCTCAAATTCAGACTTGTGGTACAACAGGAAGAAGCTCTGTTTCAAACACACCAGCAAGCCTGACAAAACCATGGTTACAAGGGGGGGGGGGGGGAATCAATGAATTAATAAGGTAAACAACTCCGTGCCACTCAATGGCTGGTTCCCTAAATAAGCAGCAAGGCAAGGGGGTGTTTGTGCTGTCGTGGGGACAGGCATTGGAATGATGGCATCTGATGGATCCTGTTCCTGATGGATGATCTGCCAAGACATGGGGGAGACCCTGCTCTAGTAAGTTAATGCTGAGTCTCCTATGCACAGCAATGCACTCTAGGCACTGAACTTAGCATATAATGGGTGTTTTGGTGGAAAGCAATTTTCTTGGAGAAGCTATTTTTCACAGATCAGAGAACATGGGGATAATCGACTTGCATGATTGCTCCCTGTTGTTGGAGGATGTAACCGGTGGGGAGAGGAGATTGGCTGAACTCAAGCAAACCTTTGGTAATGTCACCTAAGTTACAGATCTTAGATCTGCTCACAAATGGTATTACACAGTAGCAGCAGCCCAATAGTAAACACAGTGAGATGAGTAATGTAGCTAATGCTAATATAATTTCAGTGAGCTGAGCTCCATCTGCTGGTAGTCAATACACACAGCAATTATATTACTATTGATAATTTCTTCCAGCTCTGCTATGCTGCCTGAAACCCCCCTTGTCCACGATCAATAGCTTACATCACTATTATCAACGAACATGTGCCTTCCAGCGTGATGCTGAAAGGGGCCATGTAGTAATTAGGCCATACATGAGTTGCACAAAACAATCATGATCAATGTTTCTGCAGAGTCTCCAGGCTGGAAACTATCCCTGCAATCTAACCAAACTGAGCACTATACTAATTAATTTCCTAATTAATTAAATGGGAATGTCCTCCTCTTAGAAGTCTTTGTTTTATTTTAAATCTTTAATAGACCATCCCTCTTCAACCCTAAAACAAGAGTTTGGGCTGCTGGGTAAGTACATAAACGGGAGGACTCCTTTGTTAACCAGACCTGGAAACCTGTTTCCTGCTTCTTAGTCACTCAGTGTACAAAGCATTAAGGTCATTGATAAAGCCAGAGCTCAGAATGCATAGTGATCATGCTCTACTGCCAATCCCAAAATAGCTAAAATCAGCAGCAGTAGTTAACATTCGATATTTAAATGATCATTATTAGTCTTTGGAATCAACGCCCACCGAATGAACCCACAGTTCTTCATCACTACTCATGGTTTGGGTATAAGTGAAAATTTCATATTAAAAAAAGGATGTATGGGAAATGGTTGGCTTCTGTGAGAGTAGAAAATAGAACAATTTAGGGGCTGCTTGGAGGCTATTAATTATTCATCTCCCTCCCCCCAAACCCCCCTTTTCTTCAAGAGAAAATTTACTGTTTGTGTAAGAACTTGAAAGCTGGTGTTTGGTGACTTTTCAGCTTATGTTTCCAGACCTGGTTAATCCATGTTTGTTAATCCATACTTATAGCTGTGTACCCAAAAGTTAAAGTGGTAACCAGGCTTATAACATGTATGTACCATCAGTTTGTTTATCTGAGGCTTTTTAATTTGAATACAAATAGTATTTTTTCCATTTTGCAAACTAAGTTGTCTCTGTAACCTTAATGCTAGGAGCAGAGATAGTTTGCATACTATGGAACATCAGGGTCATGAACTGACTGGTCAACCACACACCTCATTTGGAACCGGAAGTACGCAGTCAGGCAGCAGCAGAGACAAAAAAACCAAAATTGTACAGTACTATGTTAAACCAACTACTAAAAAAGGGAAGCTTAGACAAGGTAAGGAAACTGTTTTGATGCTTGTTGCCTTTAAGATAGTTAAAGGCAGCACTTTTCTTCTGCATAGTAAAGTTTCAAAGTTGTATTAAATCTATGTTCAGTTGTAAACTTTTGAAAGAAGAACCACAACATTTTGTTCTGAGTTACAAATGTAACTCCAGTGCCAAGGGGTTTGTAATGCTGAGGTTCTACTTTATTTCTAATGCCTGGTGCATCACACTGCTGCACCCCAGCTCCACCCAAACCCTGTAAGGATCAGCTTGGCTCTTTGCAGGGCAGAACGAGACGGGCGCTGTGTAAGCCACGGGTGGCTTGTGTTTGTCCAAACAAACATTTGCCCAGAGTGGAGCAAAGGTGGAAGTTCCAGCTAAGGAGAAAGAGGAGGGTGTGGTGAGAACAAGGCTCATTTCCCAGCAGCAAAGTGGACTTTGGGCAGAGGATAAAGGGTCATGAGGCAGGGAGATCTGCAGAGCTTTGAAGGGGAGGGCAGGGCAGTTGAAGCAGGAGTCCATTTAAAAATCTTTTTAATGGGTCTTACACACGCACAGTATGTAGCATCCTCTGACTGCTGCCATGTTAAGGGCTAGTCTGGCCAGGGACCAGCAGAGCTGGGGTGGGACCTAGCTTCTTGGAATAAAGCCAGCCAGGATTCCCCACAGAAAGCTGAGAGGGAGGAAAGACTTCTCATTACTACCACAGAGCTTCCTATGGGCTGATGTAAGCCCTGCTGCTACTGGAGGGAGGGGGCAAGGAAAAGATTACAGACTGATCAGGTTCCTGGACTGGGACTCCTGTACCACCCACCAGAGTGCGAGTGTGTGTGCGCATCTGAGCCTAGGGGAGGGAGGGACCTCTATTCTCTTCTACACAGTGATGCGAGAGGACCAAGAGGTGTAAAGCTTCTTTAC